CCTGTTTGTTTTCTCCTCTCACCTTTTACGACACACATGGGACGATATAAGGTGGCGGATTCTATTTCGCCACCACAACAAGACGAACATTTTTCTATTCTCGTTCATGAGTGTAGTTCTTCTCACCTACACTGTAAATAGAACTTAATTTGCAATAAAACTGATCTTAAGGATTTTATCGCGTTTAATTGTACCTTTTTAATTATTGACGTTTCTGGCACTTTATAGAACCCATTGTATAAGGGGATTAGGTGTCTGGGGTTCTAATGTCAAAATTAACGAAGACCACCATCAAATTTAATTAATAATGTTAGGTCCGATCTATGCAGAGCGAGCTTACTGTAGTATGCTTGGGTTTGGATTTAATTTTATGCAATCGAAGATAAATATAGACGTCCATAAGCCACAGCATCCACTTTCCATCAGGTGGACTGTGTGCTCGTTTGGCATTCCATTCCATAAAAAACAGCAGCATTAAGCTGCTATTTTACGCTGTTATTCTGTGAGAGTGTAGTCCTTCCCTGGTCGAGCCGACCTTTTCATACTAAAACCTTAATATAGATGCAGCGTGGCTCTATTTATGTGATTGTAGTTTAGTGAAGAGGTAGGCCTATTAAAGTGATCACCATCATTAAGTTATCAGAAATCAAAAACTTCACCCATAGATCATCCGGTCTGGTAACGAAATAAGATGTTCGTAGACGATCTATTTTACCCTACTGTTTCTCTAGGCACTCGAATTCATAAACTAGGAAATGTAATTTTAGTAAACTACAATTTAATCGATAATAGTTTCAATGAAATAAGCATTAAATTGGTATTCCCTGAAATGCCTATAATCTCAGCAAACCGATTTGAACATAAATTGTTTCCCTAAATACCTCACATCCCATGGGCCATTTCATAGCTTGTAACGGCTTAAAGGATGTTAGAAGATCTAGGTAGGTAAGAATAATACTCCAAAGGACATGGAACCTGGCCGCAAACAACTAAACCAAATGAGGTGATAATTAAAATCTTAAAAATAAGCTTATTTCGACTATTAAATAATATTCATTGCTTTTTGATATTTTGGAAATTCAAATTCATCATGTATATGTATGGGCTGCAAAACCATTTAACCCCAGGTGGAATTTTATTCAAGTACTGGTTTATAATAATATATGGTTTATATAAATATAACTAAATGTAAAATAATATTAATAATGTGTCTAAATTTGCATATTATTCAAGAAACAGTTTTTTAGTTCTTTATTAAGAATTCAAACATTAGTAACTTTTAGAAACTATTCCACTTCTGATGTTAGAAATTGTTATGTTAATATGAATATGTTACTTGTTACATATATAGACGCCCCTTACCAAACCGCGAACTACGCGGCAACCTCATTTTCCCACACAACATTTCAACATTGCTTCCACGAGGCAGTTTTGCTGACTTGATGGGAAACTCGGTCGCCGTGGACTCACAATGACGCACGCGATGTCAAGCGACATAGCACTTTACCAGAAACCCAATGCATCGAGGCAATTCTGCCAACCTGATGGGGAATGTAGCTGCCGTGGATTCACAGTGACGCCCGCGGCGTTATCCGACGGCATTATATATATATAAGAAACTCCACGGTGCCACCACACTTCGTTTCTAACATCGGGCGGGGTGTAGGTTTAATTAGATTTAAGTAGTATTAGTTCTTTTTAGTTGTAATATCTTTTAAATTAAATTTAATAAAAGTAATTTTGTTTTTTTTGGGTCCTCCGGCGGCGACATCCATAATTTACTCGTATTAGAATTTACTCTGAAGGTTAATTGTTAAAAATAATAAAAGTGTGAGAGTGAATGTTCAATTTGCTGTCTTGCTTACGCAATTAATCATTATCAGGAATACGAAAGCGTACAGCACTACACATTCAGTATAGAGCAAATACAGTTCGACCAACCGTAATATTTACCGATCACAATCACACATTGGTGTAACGTGAAGGACATAATTACATGATAACACCAAAGTATGCCAAGCAACAGCAACACTACTCATCTCAATGTAATACAGGGCAGCATCTCAGCAACGCCCCTTACTCGTATTTGCTAGTGTAAACTAGAATAACTACTTCACGAGCAGAACCACATCACTTGTCTTAAATTAGGCAGAATCTCAGTGTAGATGTAATGTTTTAGCCCACCGGCATAACAACGACATGTGTTCGGGGTTGTACCGACACGAAGGGTATGATAAACTGATAACGCTTGATAAGTCTAATAAAATATATTTTGGATAAGTTACAAATATTAAAGGCTAGAATTACTGATAATAATGAGTACGCGTAGCACTCTTGATGGCTGTATGCGAACTGATTTTATAATACAATTGCCGCGGAAATATGTAAAAGAGGTCAAGTTGTGAAATGATGACTTGACAATTGTACGTTGCATTTCATGCTCGTACATATTCCCGGGCAGCAAAGATGGGGTTAGGAGAATGATGGGTGCTAGTGTGGCATAATCTAATTACAAGGTGATACCATTGTTTCTTATCTATCATGCAAATGATAACTTGATTAGTACATGAATGTATAAGGTGATTAAACAATATTCTTATCTAAGACTAGTCTATGCACACTGGTTTGAAATTGTGTACACTGTTCTGAGCACAGGCGACGTGCTTTTGTTGCACACGTGAAAAACACGCGTTCTCGTTTTTGAAAAACCATTTGCACTCACTTTTTGACACTGATTACCTATAGAATAAGTATTTGCACTCACACTTTGACACTGATTGCCCATAACACATTCACTACACTGAGCACTGAAACTATGTAGAACCTGTGGCGACGACGTGTCCCACCGCACCGCAATGACCGTAAGCAATAAATATATCGCATCGTAATGGTGGACATCATGATAAGAAACCCTCTCTGCTAGGAGCTCGTTGTTCTTCATAATCTCAATCTGTTCCTTGATCATCTGCAGCTGTAGATTATTGGCTATATCGTCATTCGTATTGTTCGGTAAGGAGCGATCGGGTAGCGATATGTTGATGATATGATTAATTGGTGATATCTTAGGGGCTCGTATATCAGAACGGATGTTCATCTCGTTAAGTTCTTGTCGGTGTGAATAAACAAAGAAATCAGCTGCTTTAACTATACAACCTTGATCCACATTAAAAAGGCCAGAGCGGGTCAATCGCACTGCCGTTACTTGATCGTCACATAGTAACTTCATTTTGCACTGGTCGCAACAAAAATAAAAATATGTATTTAGTTTATTTAATTCTTTCCAGCGATTATAGCGTGATCTGGTAATTGTTTTACATTTTTGTAATAAAGGTAGATTATCGCAGACCGTGCTTTGTGGCATTCTTTGGGGGAGGCCTATCTTCAGCAGTGGACTTGTGAAGGGCTGTAATGATGATGATGATCGCAGAAAGTTTGATCGTCCTTTATGTAGTAAATAGGCTTTTTATAATGGCACAAAATAATTTTGGAGTCTCTTCTAGTCCATAAATCCAGGTCCTTTGGGTCAGTGGCACTAGGAAGTCTTTCTTTAAATTGATAGCAATGTATCTTAATACCGCTACTACGGAAATTTCTTCTTTATTTTCTTATATATAAGGTACTGGTATAACTTCCAGGACTTCAAACATATCTTTGCTGATGAGAGGTATCTTGAGTTCGAATATGATGTAATTACCTCTTATTCGAGCTCGCACATGCAGTAAGTTGTAGATTTCATAAAATTTTTTATTTATATTATTATAGTTATCTATTGGAAATGATAGGTCTTTCGGGAGCTGGCCTGCTATGACGTTCAGTTCTTGTTTTAACTGATTGGGAGATAACAAGTGGAAACAAAATTTTCCGTTGTATATATTTGTAATAGTGTCGAGTAAATTTTGTTGTATATTTCTGAGACAAAGGAAAACACGTCCGTACAGTTCTACCATTTATTGCGAGAGAGAGAGAGGTCACAAACTACCTTCCTTATACTAACAATAAGCTTACCCTACATTACACCTCCACCCTTATTCTAAAGGTACTTAAACTAATATAAAATAAAGCACATATCATTTAACTAAACTACAACTAATCAAAATCAAATCCATAAAGTCGCGGGGCCCTGTGAGTTCTAGGCGGGGTGGAGCGTTCTCTCGCCGGGCTCGGAGCCACGGGCGCCGGCTGCGGGGCGGGCGGAGGGCGCGGGGACGTCGCGGCGGGCGCGGACACGGCCGCGGCCTCTCTGCCACTCGAACGGGCCTCTTCCTCCACCACTGGAGAGGACCCATTCGGATACACTAGATAGGAACGTGATAATGAACCTCTTCCTCCTTCTGAAACATCCCGGTCTTCCCCTTCCCTATCCGGCTCCCCCGATCGTGGTTTTATCTGGTCGACATGTCTATGAATAAAGACTTTATCAGCCCCTAGAATTTTATAGTCCGTTTCTCCTAGTCTGGAGTGTACTTCTCCTTTTAACCATTTTACAACCGAGTTACGATAATCGCGGTACCATACGCGGTCTCCCGGCCGACTGAAAACTGCCGGCGACTGCCGCCCGCGGCGCGCGCCTGCCGGGCCTGCTCGCGCCGCACGCGGGGCCCCAGCTCCGGCTTCAGACAGTCGAGGCGTGTGCGCAGTGAACGACCTTGTAATAATTTCGCGGGGCTCACACCGGTAGTACAGTGTTCGGTGTTACGATATACGAGTGGAAACCTATTAAGCGCGATATCGATATTCACAACCTGTACCAGTGCCTTCTTTATAACCCGCTTGCTCATTCTAACCGCATTCTCAGCTGCGCTATTCGAAGCCGGGTGATAGGGTGCTGAAAACATGTGTTCTATACCGTTATCCTTAAGAAATAACTGAAATTCCTGACTAGTAAACGGCGGACCGTTCTCACTCTCTATCTGTCTTGGCAGACCGAATCTAGCCCACATTTCCCTTAATTTGCTTATTAAATTTTTTGCCGAAATGGAACTCATAGCAGTGACTTCGACCTATTTAGAATGAGCGTCCACGGTGACTAAGTAAGTAGCGCCCCCTATCGGCCCTAAAAAATCGAGATGCAGTCGCGACCACGGGCGCTCTGGCCAAAGCCACGGGCGCGGCTCGTGTCGCTCCGGCGTGCCCGCCACGCGCGCGCACACCGAGCAGGCGCGGCACACGGCCTCCACCGCCTCGTCGATCCCCGGCCACCACACGTAGCTGTGAGCGAACTGTTTCGTCTTGGTGATCCCCATGTGAGCCTCATGTAACTCCGCGAGAACTTTCTCCCTGCAACTAGAAGGTACCACTACTCTGTGACCCCACATGACGCACCCCAGTTCCTCGTATAACACTTTCTTTCTGTGAAAGTATGGTTTGATATCTTTTATTTCGATATCTTGCGGCCAGCCGTCCCGTATATAACCGACCTAGTATCGCGTCCCTCGCGGTTTCCCGCTTTAAACTATTATTGTCTATTAATAAGGCCTCTGACGCGAAATGTAAATAAGTTTTTTCCGGAAATTCTCGATTTTCCTCCGACCTACTCTCTTTATGGGTAGAAATTATTCGCGACAATGCATCCACCACATTATCATTAGTTGAGACGTATTCGATATCGCAGCTTACGAGCTGTTAATATTAAAGCCCATCTCTGTAATCTACTGGCCGTCATGCTAGGAATACCTTGGTGTGGACCGAATATTGTGACTAACGGTTTATGATCCGTCCGCAATGTAAACCGTCGAACGTAAATATACTGGTGAAAATTTTTCACAGCAAATACAATAGCTAACGCCTCTTTTTGTATCTGACTGTAGTTGCATTCCGCGGCGGTGAGCGCGCGCGACACACACATGACGGGGCGCTCGCGGCCAGCCGCGTCGCGCTATGCCAGCACGGCGCCGAGCCCGCGTGCGCTGGCATCACACGTCACCACTAGCGGCCCGTCCGGCTCGTAGTGGCTCAGCGCGACCGCGTCACTCAAACGTCTCTTAACTACAGTGAAAGCTTGCTGTTCTAATCTACCCCATTTCCATGTCGAGTCTTTTTTAGTAGTTCGTAAAGTGGCTGTAAAATGGTACTCAAATTAGTCACGAAACGGCTATAAAAATTGACCATTCCTAAAAATGACCGAAGTTCCGAAATATCTTTGGGTGGTGACATCAACAGAATCGATTCTATCTTGTCAGGATCGGGGTGGATTCCCTCTTTATTCATTACATAACCCAAATATTTCACTTTTTCGACAAAAAATTCACATTTTTCCCTTTTTAATTTAAGACCGTACTCTTTCAATTTATCTAGCACTTTACGTAAAGTATGTATATGGTTTTCGACAGTGTCCGAAGCGATCAAAACGTCATCCAAAAATACTACGACCCCTCGATATCTTTTAACAAGTTAACCATTATTCTTTGAAAAATTCCCGGACTGGATGCTAAGCCGAAAACAAGTCTGTTGTACATAAACAAACCACGATGGGTGTTAATTACTGTGTACTTTTTGGTATCGTCAAGCTCGATCTGATTGTATGCCTGTGATAAGTCTATTTTGCTGAAAAATTTACTTCCCCCTAATTGCGACAATAAGTCGTCAATTTTAGGCACTGGGTACTTGTCGACAGATAAGACACGATTGAGGGTTACCTTGTAATCCGCACATATTCGAATAGCTTCATCCGATTTATTGACAATAACGAGAGGAGTCGCCCAGTCCGAGCACTCGACGGGCTCAATGACGCCCGCGCGCAGCATGGCGTCCAGCTCGTCCAGCTATATTTGGGAACCCTGGTCCAATGGGCAACGCATTTTATGAAGGGTTCCATCTGCTGATTCCACCTTGATAATCGCAGTTGATAACAATACTTCGATCGGTTCATTCGGAAGCGACACGTGCGAACTACTTTTGACGAATTTCCCGGAGTAAGCATTTGAACTACTGGCGCCGCTCGGGCCGGCACCTCCGGCCGCTGTTTCCGGTGTCGCAATACTTGTTTGTTTGAATGTTTCGTGTAGAAGGCTATTATGATCCTTATTGCATTCACGACAACGTCTATCTGAAATACACGCTTTTCCAAAGTGGTTATATAGGCAATTAGGACAAAGATTTAATTTTGTGACCATTTTTCTTCTACTGCTTGGCGACATATCTAAAATTTTTTGACAGTAATAAATCCCGTGCTCATCGCTGTTGCACAGAGAACATTTGTATTTAGTCATGATATTTTTGCTGCTTGATTGTTTCGTCGTCATCCGTATGCGTGAAGAAAATGAATTTTTGTAGTAATTCTGTTTTTGATTACTGTTGTTAAAAGATTTTTGAATTTCCTTGATATTTTTGTATATGGTTATCTTGCTTCATACGAGCTGATTCCAATGTAGTGAATTTGGTTTCCAAAAAATCCAAAAAATCGTTCAGTATATGTAACTCCCTTGGGTGCTTAACGGATTCAATATAATCTGAGTATGATTCGGTGTCTAATTTTTGCGCCAAAATGTATAGCTTACTTCGACCCCTAAATTCTTGACAGCATTCAGACACTCAATTGTGGTATCATGAATGCGGAAGGACTGATGTTACATAACAGGAATATTTAAAAGTAAACTAATATGTGATGAAAATATAAGCCTCTTGTTATTAAATCTTTGATTTAAAATGTCCCAACATACATCGTAGTTGTCCGAGCTAACGCTGAGATGCTGGATTAGTCTCTCGGCTTCTCTTTTCACTTTGATCTTGAGATACTGCACCTTCTGGGCGTTGGACATAGACGGATTGCTATGTATTGTTTCAGTGAAAAGGTCCTTGAAAGAAGTCCAGGTGTTATAATTTCCACTGAAAGTCGGAATATCCATCTGCGGCGTAGACTTTTCCCTGTGAGCCACTGACCACATTTTCTTGTAAATGGCTTTCTTGATTCTACTATATTCTGATTCGTAGCTGTTAAAAGTATCTTCATACTCCTTGTTCGGCCCCTCCAACTCACTATCTAAGTCCCAGTGCAGCGCGTCGATTGCTGCCCACCGGGTTTGAATAGTCCATAATAAATCATCAAATTCCCACTTTTCTGACACGGAATCAAGGTCAATGTTTACTACAGTACGCTGGAAAGCTTTAAAATTACTAAACTGTTTTTTCAGCATATCGTCGGTCTTGATCGTCGTGCCTGTTGCTTGCCCTTATGGTTGAGAGGATTCACCTTCTCTCATAACAAAAGTTGGTGGCTTCAGAAGCGGCGTTCTGGGCCTTTCCCCTTTAAGTGGCTGATAGTGATATGAAGCCTAATAGAACCGTATCTTTCGGCTACTCGTTTAAATTCTTGATTCGTAAAGTACCTACTAGACTCAATGCCAAACTCTGATAATCTTGCATGATTATTTTTAAACTCTAGCCAATACTTATCCAACATATCTAATCTACGCTGTATACAGTCTGATGTCTTCCTTTCTGAGCTGTCTTTTTTAAAATTGGTAAAGACATGCTCTATTGCCTGAGCGATTTGCTGCTGATTAGCCAGGAAGTCGTCCATTTGCAACATGATAAAGATAATAAAAAGGGCTGATTTTACTTGATATCTGCTGAACGGCGAATGTGAGCAGACACGCTCACCGACTGATGATGACCAGAGACTTCGTTCTAAGGGACGCAGGCGTACACCTTGATCGCACACTGCCTTGATACTTGCTGCGTTACTGATTTCTTGATAAGCCAGTAGCAGTCACGCAACTACGCGCCACGTGTCACGTTACTGAGCGGAAACACCAAAACGTCCACACCGAAATTAGAGCACACGTGCCAAGGTCCCGCTATTTCGGAAAGCTCGAAGGACCAATGTGTGGGGTTGTACCGACACTAAGGGTATGATAAACTGATAACGCTTGATAAGTCTGATAAAATATATTTTGGATAATTTTCTTGGCCAAACGAAATGATGACTTGACAATTGTACGTTGCATTTCATGCTCGCAATTTTTGGTTGAAAATGGTAAATGGACTGTAATTTGCATAGACGCTGGCTGATTCTACTCGATACCGTTAACTAAACAATATTACTAAGGTCGGACGTACCTGAATATACGAAGGCGGATGTTCCTGCTCTCGTGCGCTTCTTCGGGGTTCCCAGCTACACGGATTTCGGTCACTCACGATTATCCAATTCGAGGAATAGCTTGCGGCGGAACATATATTAGGGAGCAGCGAAAAAACGTGCCATTTCTCACGACGCGCGGCGTTGACAGTATGTGATCACGTGACGGGAAGATGTCCATAATTTTAACGGACCAATAGTACGCAAGAATCACATCGACCCGCGAAATACACGGACATCCAAACCAAAGTAACATTGGTGTAACAGTTGCGAGTATTCAGAGCAAATAAACAAAGAAATTTCGGCTGCTTATTAAATTAGCCGAACCATTCCTCCCGGCCTTGAAAGGGAAGCTTTCAAAGGTGTAATCATCTTTATCGACCAAATTAATTTATTCTCACTTCTATGAACCTTATCACAACATATTAAAGAATGTTTGTTAACTACTTATATCTACTTAATCCCACTAACTTATCTATGACTTATTATCTAGAGGCTAATCTACCCTTTACCTAAATAATTTGTGAATTTTACTGAGTTGGCAATGGACACAATTCAACCACTGGTCTTTGGTGAGTACCGTGCTTAGTCCTTACCATTGCTACACGTATAACGTCGTCCTTACCTTTAAAGGTTTGTGTTATAATGCCTAAGGGCCAATGTAAGGGCGTGATGTTATCCTGTATTACTACAACAACCGTTCCTTCCTTAACTGGGAAGGATGGTGAGTTCCACTTCTGGCGGGCTTGTAGGCTATGAAGATATTCCCTCCTCCATCGCATCCAGAATGACTGTACCAACTTGTCTAAGAGTTCATATCAAGTTAGAAGATGCGGAATCGAATCATCGATATCAGGTGCTGGCAGGAAATCAAGCGGGACGGTATGTAAAAATGAGCTGGCGTCAAAGCTGCTGGATCTGAAGGATCAGAGCTGAGAACTGTAAGTGGTCGTGAATTCAATATGGATTCAATCTGGCTTAAAACTGTTTGAAGCTCCTCAAAGGTTAGAATTTGTTGGCCGATGACCCTATATAAATGGGTTTTTATGCACTTGATGTTACTTTCCCAGCAACCACCGAAGTGTGGAGCATTAGGAGGAATCAGTTTCCATTGGATACGACTTTCTGCTAACTGCTTTTCCCACACTGGTTTATATTCATTCTTTAGAAAAGCGTACAAATCGCGAAGATAAGATCGGGCACTAATAAAATGAGTTCCGTTATCGGTATAAAAACATTGAACCGATCCCCGTCTAGCTAGGAATCGTTTCATGGCTGCCAAGAAGCAAGCTGTGCTGAGATCGCTTGCGAGCTCAATATGCACCGCTCGTGTAGTAAGGCATGTAAACAGGCAGATGTAAGCCTTACGGTTTTTTATACCCTTACCACGATATGGTGTTATTAGGACTGGGCCGGCATAATCGCATCCAGTATGGACGAAGGCTTTGACAACCGCTCTCACTCGAGGTTCAGGGAGGTCAGCCATCATAGGGAACCCAGGTTGAGGCTTAGATCGAAAACATACGTTGCATTTAGATATAATGGCTCTAATTGCACGTCTAGCAGATAGTATCCAGTATTTAACACGGAGTACAGAAGATAACAACCCTGGTCCTGTATGTAAATATTTGCAGTGGTATGAGCGTATGAGCAAGTCTACCACATGATCCTTACAAGGAAGGAGAATAGGATGTTTAAAATCAAAACTCTCCTCTGGGTTTGCCAAACGGGCACCTACGCGTAATACGCCATCCTTAAGAAATGGATTTAATTTTTTAATAGATGGAGAACGACATCCCCCTTTCTCTAAACGTTGAAGGTCATCACTAAAATGTATTGACTGTATTACCTTCATAATTTCTAATTCCGTAAATTCCAAATCTGACTCAACTATGGGTCCCAGGGGTAGCTTCCTTATAAACTTATATATGTAGCTTGCCACGTTAAGGAACCGTAGCCACGAAGAGTAAGTACGTGCTAGCTTATAAAGAAAAGGTTCTTCGATTGGTTTTATTATTACTAGGGAAATAGACTTAAGCTCCGGCGCGTCGGAAGATTCCTTTGGCACAAATGTTTTTATTGGCCATTCGGTTTTTTGTAAATGGGCCCAAGGAGGCCCCTGTAGCCAACGGGGGTGTTTCATAAGTTGTGTAGGAGTTAATCCACGGGACAAACAATCGCACGGGTTTTCGTTACCCTTGATGTGGTAAAAGTGATCCGATAGTGAGTTGTCCTGGATTTTGGAGACTCTATTGGCAACAAACGTGTGCCATCGGTGCGGAGAAGAGTGAATCCAATTTAACACTACGGTCGAGTCTGAAAATGCTAACACCGAATCAATTGGGTATCTACTCGAATATATTTCAAAACCTTTTTTATTAATTTAGAAAGCAACGAGGCTGCACATAATTCCAGACGTGCTAATGAAACAACCTTCAAGGGCGCAACCTTTGACTTTGCGCATGACAAAATGACAGTTGTCTGAATTTGTTTGACGTCTACTCGAATATAAACTGCGGCGCCATAAGCCTTTTCACTCGCGTCAGCGAAACCCAGAATTGTCACCGAACAGCCATCAGCCACTCCAAGGTGCCGAGGACATTTCATCTGGGCAAGCAGGGGAAGTTCCCGTCGGAATTCATTCCACAGTCGTGTAATTCGTTGTGGGGGATCAGCGTCCCTGTCTATTTTAGCAATCCAAAGCTCCTTGATTAAAAGCTTGGCATACAAAATTACAGGTGCTACCAGGCCCAAAACATCAAACAAACGTGCGACAGAGGACAAAATGTTTCTCTTAGTGCAAGGGCGATCATCTGAAATTACCTTGAAGGCGAACTCATCATCACGAGGACGCCAGTAAAGACCTAATATTTTCAAGGTATCGTCCTTGTGAAATTCGACATTTTGCGACAAGCGATAATCTTCAGGAATATGTTCAAGTACCCTTGTGCTATTGCTACTCCATTTGACTAGATCGAAGCCCCCAGCCTTAAATAGCCCGATTAACTCTTGAAAGGCAGAAATAGCTCGATCGGAATTCATCAGTGAGCTAGCTATATCGTCCATGTAAAGATCTCTCTGCACGACTTCTTTACCTATAGGAAAACGGTGACCCTCATCCTGTACTAGTTGCGAGACAGTGCGAAGAGCTAAAAATGGGCTACACTTTAGTCCAAAGGCTACTCTATTGAATTCTAATGATTTTATTGGAATTTGAATATCTGAAACACCTCCTAATTGTCATCCCGACTGAAGCGATATAAGATACACTGAAAACGTCGATCCTGCTTACGGACGCCTATCCTAAGATACATCTGCCTCACGTCAGCTGTGATGGCAACAGGTAATAGTCTCATATTCATTATGATTGTAAAAAGGTCGCGTTGAAGATTGGGACCGGCATATAAAAGATCATTTAAAGAAAATCCGCTACTAGACTTAGCACTTGCATCCAGGACAGGTCGAATCCGTGTCGATAATTTATCTTCCCTAAGAACAACGTGGTGGGGCATGTAAAAGTGCAGAGGATCTTTATCGGCTGTATCAATAGGAGACAAATAACCTTGATATATATAATCCTTGATTACACTATCGTACGCCTCTCTTAGAGCGGGCTGAGCAGTAAACCTACGCACTAAATGCAAAAATCTACATCCAGCAACTTCCAAAGAATTACCAAAAAGATCTGGACTGAATTTGAAAGGTAATGCTACTTCGTAGCGTCCGGAAGCAGCACGCGTGACAGTCTTGCTATAATTTTCTTCGCATATTTATCATCAGCACTAAAGATATGCTTAGGATCGATTTCGTCGAGTTCCCACATTTTCCTAACTAGAGTCTCGACTTCAGATGTTGAAATAGCATGAAAAGCTACGACTGCTGGGGCTTGAGCCTAGATAACCGCTGGAGCATCTCCTAGAACGATGTATCCTAAAACGGTCTCAAGCGCATCCGGAGAACCGGGTTCCCCGATAATTTTACCAGGTCGTAGCATCTCTGCAAAAAGACTAACACCGATTAATAAATCTATTTTTCCTGGCATACCCCAGCCATCGTCCGCCATGGGAATACTACGTAGATTTTCAAGGAATCTAGTATCGATATTACACGTTGGTAAATTACTAGTGATTCGATTTAACACTAGAGCCTGAATATTAAATTTTGTATTATTGAATCGAGATCGAAAAGAAATATTTGCCGCCCCCTTGACTATCTGTGATGAGCCACCGTATTCCCTTCACCGTTACAGGCGAATTAGATTCGACCTTTAGCTGTAGTTTTGAACAACATTTTGTTGTTATATAATGTTTGTGGGAACCAGGATCCAGTAAACATCTAACTATTACATCGCGACCATCGCGACCGGTGGCATAAACCTTTGCGGTTGCGAGAACTTGCGTTGTTGATGATGAATCGCATTTTGTAGAAGACAACGAGCAATA